ATATATATATATATATATATATATATATATATATATATATATATATATATATATATATATATATATATATATATATATATATATATATATATATCTATATATATATATATATATATATATATATATATATATATATATATATATATATATATATATATATATATATATATATATATATATATATATATATATATATATATATATATATATATATATATATATATATATATATATATATATATATATATATATATATATATATATATATATATATATATATATATATATATATATATATATATATATATATATATATATATATATATATATATATATATTATTTCTTTAAATAAATCTTCTTTTACTGTTTGAATTAAAGCTATTAAGAGCCGCAGCAGAGTCTGAATATGATCACTCTTTCAAGGTCTTCTTTTACCCATTGTAATCCTAAAAGTATACCTACAACTTCATCTGTGAATACAGAAAGTTTGTTATTATTTGTTTTTACATATTGTTATCTCAAACTCTATAGGATCTGCTCTCTCCACTCCATTCCTGGTTGTTGCTAGAAGGGATTCAGCTGCAGACGGAAGTAAACGAGAATGATTTATATTATTCAGTAAAACCCTTAATTGTATTTTATTAATGTATACCCCTACAAAACCTGAACCCAACCACCACAGTAATGTAAAAACTTCAATAATCGTTTTCCTTTACTCAACTGCAATGTAAAAATGTTTTGTAGTCTGACATGACATGATTTTCTTTCGTAATTTTTCTTTTTATTTTCCAACAATAAATAAATAAATAAAATAAATGTTTGTACAAATATACAATTCCAGAATAAAAAGCTGAACATAGGAACAAAATGTTTGGGCTCACAATGTGTAGTTTCATCCACATCTTTGGTTGTCTGATACAAATTTGTTAAATCCTAAAATATTGCTATAATCCTGGGCTAAAATACATGGTCTTTGATCATTTGTTTGACATGTTTACCAACAGCTGATTAATGGATGCTATTTCCCTCTGATGAAGTTCTGACAGATGATTTCAGGCACTTTCCTGCCTTGACTTCACCTGGATCAAACGTCAAACAAGGAACCAACAAGCGCAGAATCTGATCACACAAAACTTCAAATCGCATGGAGAACTTTAAAAAAGCAGTTTCAAATCAGACATGTTAGGAGTAAAATTAATGCTGCAAATTAAGTTTGCTGTGAGAAATAATTTCTTAATGCAGGTTCCTTAAGAAAATTAATTAATTAATTAATTAATGTTTCAGACTGGTTATTTACATTTACATTTAGTCATTTAGCATACACTTTTATCCAAAGCGACTTACAAATGAGGACAAGGAAGCAACTTACACAACTATAAGAGCAACAATGAATAAGTGCTATAGGCAAGTTTCAGGTCTGCAAAGTCTAAGGAGGAAAGTATTAGTAAATTTATTTATTTTTATTTTTTTTTTGGGGTTCAGTTAGTGTGATATCCAGAGAGGCAATTGCAGATTAGGAAGTGAAGTGGAGACTAAATAGTTGAGTTTTTAGTCGTTTCTTGAAAATAGCGAGTGACTCTGCTGTTCTGATGCAGTTAGGGAGTTCATTCCACCAACTGGGCAGATTGAGCGTGAGCGTGAGCGAAAGTGATTTCTTCCCTCTTTGGGATGGAACCATGAGGCGACGTTCATTCACAGAACGCAAGTTTCTGGAGGGCACATAGATCTGCAGAAGTGAGAGTAGATAAGAAGGAGCAAGGCCAGAAGTCACTTTGTAGGAAACATCAGAGCTTTGAATTTGATGCGAGCAGCAACTGGCAGCCAGTGCAAACGGACTAGCAGCAGAGTGACATGTGCTCGTTTAGGTTCATTAAAGACCACTCGTGCTGCTGCGTTCTGGAGCAGTTGAAGAGGCTTGATAGAGTTAGCTGGGAGCCCGGCTAGTAGAGAGTTGCAGTAATCCAGTTTGGAGAGAACAAGAGCTTGAACAAGGAGTTGAGCTACATGTTCAGATAAGAAGGGTCGGATCTTTCTGATGTTATAGAGTGCGAATCTGCACGATCGAGCAGTTCTAGAAATGTGGTCAGAGAAGTTTAGTTGGTCATCAATCGTTACTCCAAGGCTTTTCACCATTTTGGATGCAGTAATGGTTGCCCCATCCATCTGGATTGATAAGTTATGGGGTAGAGTCGAGTTGGCAGAAACTACAAGCATTTCCGTTTTTGTGAGGTTCAGCTGAAGATGATGATTTTTAATCCAGTGTGAAATATCCAACAGGCAGGCTGAGATGCGAGCTGGAACCGAGGGATCATCAGGATGAAAAGAGAGGTATAGCTGGGTATCATCAGCATAGCAGTGGTAGGAGAATCCATGTCTCTGAATGACTGGTCCTAGAGATGACGTGTAGATGGAGAAGAGAAGTGGCCCAAGAACAGAGCCTTGAGGTACCCCAGTGTTTAGATGCTGTAGGTTGGACAACTCTCCCCTCACCCTCACCTCTCTTATGTTAAACTGCATGTGTTTGGCACATCTGGATTGTCAATTTGTCATACAGTCTGACATTTTGACAATTGAAAACTCAAAGTTTGCCATTGCAATAATTTTTGTCAAGTCTGACAAGCTACAATCATAAAAAAATTCGTAAAAAATAAAAAAAATAAACCTTTAAAATCATAAGATAACACATCATGCATGCAAATGAGATTTTATGCATGCTTATCACAACTGTTATAAAGTGCCATTTGCCCAGTTATGACAGTTTAAATGCAAAGATGCCATTTGGTATGTTTCCATCCAAAAATGCGAATTAACTTTATGCGCAAACACTGGATTAGCGCATAAACGACGAAGATTGAAGGCGAGACACAGAGCACAGACGCTTTTGACAGTTCTTGAAGTCATTAATAATATAATAACACTAATACTGAAATGTTTAAGGCATTTTAGAATGACTAAAACAGCATTTCAGCCTGCTAGCTTGACCATTTACACACATTTTTATCATCACATGATCTCTTATAAAAAAAAAAAAATTAATCACGTCCTTTTTTAATGCTCATACTGGAATTTGTTCAGTAAAGTGTTTTCATTGTAGTTCATGCTCATCTTTTCTTACAGAACAATACGTTTATCCTACTAAATACCTATTTTTTATGTGTATTTTCAAAATTGATGCTCATCATTCCATCAACCATTTTTTATCCGTATATCAAAAATGCACATAAACATAGGTGGATAAGAAACATAGCTATAGTTTGTTGAAAAACTTGACATAAACAAACACATCGCAACCAGTCGTCATCTTTGTCATGGCAGCTTGACATTACCAGGACAACATAACACTTCATAAAGTCATAATCAGTCATAAACATGATTGTTATGAAGCCATTGTAAAGGTCATGAATTTTAAAACACACTGCCATTAATATTTTTTTTAACCTTAACTACAGTGGTACAAACTGAATGTCATTATAATGTCATTAAATATTAATGATGCTCTTAAATTTTTTTTTTAATTATGACAGAGCAATGCCACTTAATGAGACATTTTATTGACATAGTTTGTTCCACAGAAAATTTATCAGAAAAATAATTATGACACAATTAAAATGTCTCATATTTATGTCACGTTGTCATAATATCACCTTTGCATTTAAAATTATATAACTGAACAAATGACACGTAATAACAGTTATCATAAATCTCATTCACATTCATAACTTGTCACTATTGTAAACGTTTCATTTCAGTCGTATAAACACCCCTTCGTTAAAGTGCTACCTATAAAACCTTGATGTTTTTCTTCCACTTGTTGAAGAACAATTATGTAAGCAAAACTGACCAGTGAATGACAGTGTTTTGATTGTGTTGTGCTTTGGATTAGTGTGGTTAAAAACTTTCTGAAAATTGTCAAACGGAAATCCTGCATGTTCAAGTTTTCATTAGCTTTAAGGATAGGATACCAGAGGATCTTAGAGTCCCAGAGGCGAATGAGACTATGGATTAGCAGCTGCTTGTGGTTCTGCAATCTACTCGGGGGATGTGTTTCCTTGTAAAGGCTCCTGTAAGACATCAAAAGCACGAATGATTCAGTCACACAAACAAGCAAACAAATCACAGATAGAGCTTAGATAGAGATTTTTTTATTTTTTGCAGAGGGTATTGTGGTCTTATATCCTGTCTTTTTTATATGTTTAGCAATAACATGATACTTGCAAATGATCAATTAAATATGTGAAATTATGTTAAGTAATAAAGGACTAAACTCTTTTATTGTTGAGAGTACTTGTATCCTGCTCCCTGTTATGGATTATTTGCATGTTTGTATTGTTTAGCATGGATCAAGTATTGAAATTCTGCTTATAACTAAAAGTCCAGTGCCACTTACTCAAGGTCAGAAAATTATTTATACATACATAATTAAATTAATAGCTACATTGAACAAATTGATCATGAAGCTGTTTGTCATTCTAAAGTAACAAAAAAAAGAGATGTCAGATTATTGTCTGTGATTCTGTGTACTGTTTCTAAATAAACTGGTAAAACGCAGAGAGATTTAATGCATGCAGTTTCTCACCTGTTCATTAATGTCAGCTGCTCTCCCTTTTGTATGAACAATAACAAACATAACATCATTAGTTTCTTTGTGCAGTTGAAAAATGAATATTTTTAGAACTATTGAAGATTATTTACATATGATGAATCTCATATTTCCAGTCAGATAACACCCACCTTTCCTTCTTGGTTGGTGTCTGTGAATGTAAATCACAGCAGCAACAGCAGCACCAATGACCAGCAGAACAGCAACACATATTCCGGCTACAGCACCAGCAGACAGACCTGAATCTGAAACAGTGAGAGACAGACATTCGTTATTGCTAGATATTGACTGACACTCCATCCAGTACGGCTGATATCAATTTTAAATACATAAGCATAAATCAGTTTGCTTTGTGTTAAAGTGAAAGAGGAATTACAAATTAACTTTCAATTTAGATCACTTTTTTATCTCATAATCTTATCATCTTCTCTGGGGTTTGTGATGGTCAGAGCTTAAACAAAACATGCTATTTCAAGTTAACTAATAGCCAATAATAAAGGTATTCAATATTTTTATATAGACAGATTCAGATCCCCCCCCAAAAAACTGAAGAAACTGAACCGGTTGCTCAAAAAGGCAGACACATCAGGTGTTAGATATTAGATTATTTACCAGATATATAATAGCTTATGAAATACTATTAACCGTTACTTATGATCAAGGAAATTATTCATTCAGTTGAAAAGAATACTATTTAAAAACAATATTTAGTTTTTACTTTTGAATCAACAATACAAACAGAGAAACAACATACAACAGTGTTATCTTATGGAAAGGAAGTAACTTTTTATATTTATTATGAATGTTTATACATTCAAGAGCACTGGAGAAAAAATAAACACAATAGGGAACATATTTAAACTGTTGAAATTACAAACATCTAAAAAGCAAATGATTTTATTTTGCTGGTTGAGGTCCAGATACAGTATCAGCAGATAAATAACTTGACTGTTTTCAGCAGCAACATTATGAGAACTGGATATAAGAGAAATGGAGAGATTTAATATGTGGGGAAAATTTTAGAATAACTTTTAGTTCATAAAACAGACATTTTGTTCATCTAAAGTACATTCAAAATTGTTATTTTTATTATTATATCAGAGAAAATAGGCAGATTGCATGTCAGAAAATAGGTCTGGTCTGCTACAATTATTAGCAGAAAGAAGACTTGTTTGACATTTTCTGGATTATATGTTCTGTCCCTAAATGTACAGTTATGATTTCTACTTTTTAATTCTCATCAAAGGTATGCAAAACAACCCAGATATCATTTCCACTGATAAACTGAAATATGGTATGTGATGTTATAAATCCTCTTTAAAATAAGCATATGATAAAATAAAAAAATTAAAAAATAATTTTTATTACCAGGAGTTTTTTCCACCTCTTGTTTGGCAGGAGCAGAAACACCTGAAACAAAAACCAACAAATAACTGAAGGATATTTTTTGGAGAGAAAACTCAACAGGTGTCTTGTATCTATTAATCATAATACAAAAGAATAATAGTAATAATAATAATAATAATAATAATGATAATAATAAAATTATAATAATAACAATAAATATTATAAACACCTCAAAGACACATTTAATTGTAAAGCCAAATGAAGTAAGTCCACAATTTCACTTAAACAATATGTCCTGGAGAACAAAACCCTGAATTATGTTATTATGACAGATGTTAAATTAAAGGCTGAGATAAATGATCCTGCAACTTAGAGACAGTAGATCAATTATTCTGTTCCGTTTAAGGATGGCTAAAGAGAAAAACAGCTCTGAATGTCACTGTTATAATAAACATGTCATGAAGTGATTTAAACATGTTTCAATAAGGAGGTTCAAACGACCTCTTAGTTTAAACTTGAACTCTGAGTTGACTTACCAAGAGATAAAAAACTCAACTTTAGGTCAATTAAATTTGAGTAGACCAACTCAAAGAGTTAAGAGCACACACCGCAACTAAAAAAAAGGCATTATCAATGGAGTGCAGATATCAAGAGTCACTGTGGCAACATCTGAAAAAAGAAATCCGCATTATTTTCTCTAGCTGAACTTGACCATATATATATTCTCTGTTTCGTTGATATAGTGGTGTTGCTTTAAAAAATACAATAAAATAAATATATATATACACTAACTATATCAACGAAACAGAGAATTAGCGTGGGAAAATATAACTGCTCAAGTTAATGCACAAGTTTACATTTAAAATATTTAAAAGTATTTAAATATTTGAGTATAATAAAAAAGTAATGTAATATGTGATGTTTATTAAAGAAAATACAATCATATTTAAAAAATGGAAGGAGACCAACAGAAACTTACCGTACGTTCACACCGAAAGCGGCGAGAGCGTCCAAGGTCGCTCTGGCCGCTCTGGCGACAACGCTGTCTGCCTTCAGCTCCGGCGGCGAGAGCGTCAAAACTCGCTACATTGATCTCGTACTTAAAGGAGCCGTTGCAGCATTATCAGTTACATTCCTGCATAAGACAAGTTTTTAGCGTGAAAATGTTGCGCACTTCTTATCAAATTCATACAACAATGGAAGATCAAGTTGCATGTGGTGTGGTGTGGCTTTGCTCTATTTATCCAAATATGTGTCCATATGTCTGAAATATCCTGAAGCAGCAGTACTGTTCTGTACTGTCACATCGCGTGAGATTCCCGCTTTTTAAAGATAAATTTATATAACATTAATGAACATCAGTAACTCGCCAGTAACTTATTTAATGTATGTTCCTGTAAGAAAACATTGTAAATAATTGGAAATCCGGCGACCGCAATAATCAAACCCTTGGGAACAACTGTGGTCGGAACCAAAGTTCACAGGTCTGTGTTCCCTGAACTGCTATCAAGCGGTGGACGTCTTTATTCTGATTGCTTGCCGCCGAACCGCGTCATAGCTCATTACCATAAAGTTGACTTCATTTCAACTCTCCTCGACGCTCACGCCGGCGAAGACGCGCCGCGCTGCTCCTCGCCGCTTATCATCGCCTATCGCCGCCGGCTCTCATTGAAAATGAATGACTTCCGGCTACTTTGACGCTCTCGCCGCTTTTGGTGTGAACGTACGGTTAGAGTTTAGAGAATAAAACCTGTTCCTGACCATGTTGGGTTAACAGAGTAAGTTACCATGGTTAACAGAGTTAAAGTTACCTCTGTTTCAGAAACAGGCTTGCCTTACCCTGCTTTTTTCCAGTTTGACAAACCTGCCATTTTGAAGTGGTCATTTCAGGGTTAAAATATTCTGAGTTTTCACTTAACCTCCTTTTTGAAACGGGGCCCTGCTTTTTATACTCACTATAGACAGTGACACTGAAGATCTTTTCATGGTCACCACCAGTGCTGATAATGACCTCTAGTGTATATTCTCCAGAGTCTGTGTTTCTGATGTCCATGATGGTCAGATTTCCAGTCTGATGATCCAGCTTCAGTCTGTCTCTGAATCCCTCAGTGCCTTCATTACACTGAACATCTGTACAGCTCTTACCATTAGATAAATCAATATCAGCTATTCGAGTGCTTTTAAAATACCATCTAATCTTATATTGATTGGTGATTTTGAAATCATTGTGTAGAGTGACTGAATCTCCCTTCTTCACAGACACTGACACGACATCTGAACCAGCACAGAGAACACCTGGAAAACAAATAAACAGTTAGTCAGAATTCAATCAAGGATAATAGGACAAATTATACAACAAAGCACTGTGAATATATGTGTGATTGTTGGACACATGAACCAATTTGCTCAATCAAACTTACTGAAGAATTAATTTAATTGGGAGTGAAACAATTCTCAGACCAGCAGATCATCCCAAAAACAAAGGCTTAAATTCTTAAAATTTTATGAAGCAGGGGCAGCCATGGCGACTATTGGTTAAGAGAGTTTAATTGTCATGGAAAGGTTTCATTTTCAAATGTTTCATTTTCTTTGGGTCACTAAAATGGCTCAGGTTACTCTCATAAGGCAACATTTGACAACATGTAAAAAATGTGCTAATTCGACACAAATAAAATTGAATATACCTCTACAATCTTCCAAACAGATATGATCACATGATGAAATATAGGCTGTAGTCAAAGTGTTTTTCTTACATTGAAGATGCTTAAAGCACAGTTTGTTTCATATTTTTATTCTATTGTATTAATTTCTCTTTATTTTGCAGGGAGGAAAATAACTGCATATATGCAGTTGAAGACAGAATTATTAGCCCCCCTAAATATTAGCAGCCCTTTTCCTCCCTATTTTTTGTTTAATGGAAAGATGATTTGTACTTATTTCTGAACATAACAGTTTTAATCACTCATTTTTAAAAACTGATTTCTTTTCTCTTTGCTATGATGACAGTGCATGGTATTTTACTAGATATTTTTCAAACTACAAGCATTCAGATTCAAAGTGCAATTCAAAGGCTTAACTAGGGTAATTGGGGTAAAGTTAGGGTAATTAGGCAAGTCATTTTATAACAGTAGTTTCTTCTGCAGACAATAAAAAAAATATTGCTTAAAGGGGCTTATAATATTGACCTTAAAATGGGTTTCAAAATATTTAAACCTGCTTTTATTCTAGCCAATATAAAACAAATAAGCCTTTCTTCAGAAGAAAAAATATTAGAGGACATACTGTTAAAATGCCTTGCTGTTAAACATCATTTGGAAAATATTTATAAAAAAAAAATTGTGAGGAACGCTAATAATTTTGACTTTAACTGATAATCGCTTTGAATGATCGTGGTCATGATTTTTCCCAAAATCGAGCAGCCCTAGTATTTAAGACATTGGTCACCGATTTTGAGCAAAAGGTGCAATATTATTGTTATACATGGAATTCTGTCAAGCCTAAAACAGCTCTACAAGGTTGGTTTTAGGTTTGATATTTGCTGGACAATCGCACACGCAGTTTTAGGGATCATCTGCAAATTACATAGAAGGAATCAAAACGCACAGTGAAGCAAAGAAGAAAAAAGCATTTCTAGAAAATTCCAGTAAATGGTTAGAGGCCAGAATGATTTACTACAGGTAGCAAGGCTACTATACCAATAACTATACGGTACATACAAGGCAGAAATAGGCAATATCTCTTGTCATAAGCATACAGTACACATCAGCTTAAGCACCTTAATGTTATTTTCTCAAATTCCCCCTTCATTTATGCATACATCACACAAATATATAAAAAAAACATATTTACAATAGTTTACCTAGAGCTTCTTATTCTGATGTGTGCTCACATTCCTAGAGACTAATCTGACTTACTAGAGGTCAGAGTTTCCCATATTTCCATTCATATTTGTACAGTATATTAAAGAACACTTACAGTAATTCACCCAACTGTATTTATTTATTTATTTTATTTATATTTTTCATTTAAAAGTTTGTAGCACATCCCCAGAAGCCAGACAGTCTTGCTATAAGTGAGATTTATTTTTAAAAAATTATTAATATAAATATACAGCATGCAAATATTTTTGAAAAATATTTACAGTAAATCACCCTACTGTAATTTTAAGATTTTAAAGGGTGTAGTATATTCACAGAGGCATCACTGACTTACTACAGGTGAGAATTTACCCATATCTCCAAAGATCTCTTTAAAATTAATATTTTCTACAAGATACTTTACAGTCAATACCAGAGTCATAGAGTAGAAAATACCAAAGCCAAAACTGAAACTAATCTAACAAAAAAGTAGGTCGCAATCCAGAAAAGAATACACCCACAATGTAAATGTTTGGGGAAATCATGTAACAAAATATTAACAAAGATGAAAAATCAAAAGAAACAAAAAAGTATACTACATTTTTTATAATTTTGTAGTGTCTTTTTTTGGCAATATAGAAGCAATGAAGCTCTTCATTTGAACTCTAATAACATCTTATCAATATGTTCTTCCCTCTCTCTCACAGAACCTTGGTGCTTTTTTCAACCTGACACACAAGACTTGTTCAAACAGTAATTTGTCTTTAAAATCTAGAATTGATTTCTTTTTATTATCCTCATTAGCCTTACAATTTGTTAAAGACAAAACTCATTCGTTTGCACACCTCACTGATCACAACCAATTAATATTAAAATTAGGTTGTCATAAGGAGAATCCAAAGTTACGTGGTTATTGGAAATTTAATAACTGTCTCTTAAAGGATGACGTTTTTAATAACAATACAAAATACCTAATTAAGTATGTATTTTTACATAAAATGCTAATTTGGTACATGAATAAAAAAGATTTTTTTTTTTGGTCAATGCTATTGAAATGCTTTATAGAGATATAAGTAGTTTTGTTTTAATTAGCTTCAGCACCTTCAAAAGATTTTCTATTAACCGCAGTGAGACAGGGTTGCTCTTTCTTACCTTTTTTATTTATTTCAGTAACAGAATTGCTACTGCTAAATATTATATATGAACCTAACCTAGAAGGTTTATCGATTTGTGAAAGAGAAATTAAAATCTCCCAGTTGTCCGATGACACTGCCTTATTTTTAAAAGATGTCAGCTGTAAGTATAAGGGCTGTAAGTATAATTTAAGAATTTTCATGTGCTTCTGGATTGAATGTGTCCAAATGTGAAATTATGATGATTCATGAAACTAATGACTCCCTATTAAAAGGTATTTTAGTAAAAGAGAATGTAAAGTATTTAGGTATATATTTAACAAAAAATATAGCGGCTAGACAACAGCTTAACTTTTCTGGTAGACTTAAAAAACTCATAGTATTTTTAATATTTGTCTCCGAAGAGACATTTCCCTTTATGGGAGGGTTCTTTTGACCAAAGTAGAAGGTTTGTCTCGTTTGGTATATCCTTCATTTTCTCTTTCTGTTAGTATCCCTACCGCTAAAGAAGTTAACAAAATATTTCTAAACGTTATTTAGAAGAATAAATACCATTTATCAAACTTAAGAAAACAGTTCTAGCAAATAGTAGAAAAGAGGGTGGACTTGAAATGTTAGACTTTGAGGACATAATAAACACTTTTAGAATTAATTGGATTAAAAGATGATTAAAATACCCCAACTCTTTATGGGTTTTTAATTCCAAATTATATATATATATATTTTAAATTAGAGGTCTTCCATTTATTTTAAAATGTAATTATCTATCTAATAAATTGCCAATTGTACTGTCAAAATTTCACCAGCAGGTTCTTCTTTCCTGGAAATTGTGTTATTGCCACAATTTCTCACCTCATAAATGCATTTTACGGAACAACCTTAATATTAGAATTAGAAATAAATCAATTTTTCTATGCACATAGTTTACAGGCATATAATTGGGATTCTCTCAACTTTTGATAAGTCAGGCAACTTCTTTTCTTATGAACAATTTATGTCTAATAATAATTTTCCATTACCTTTTAAGGAATTTAATGCTGTGCAAAAAGCAATTCCTTTAGGGCTAGCTAAACCTATAAAATCTCATTTAATTTTTAATAAAAATGTTATTAAAGAGCCAGAGCTCAACTTAAATGGAATTAGTCTATTTGACAACAAAAATTATAATGTAATGTAATGTAATGTAACGTGTATTTATATAGCGCATTTATTGTATAATATTATATAATTACATATAATAATTACATTCCACAAATTTTCTAAAATAAAAATAGCCTGGCTATTACCTCATAAGTACTGCTTTCCCAATAAGACAAAAAGAGGTTCATTTTAAAATTCTTCATAAAACATATCCAGTGAATAGTATTTTGGCTAAGTATATAGAGGTTGATAGTTCATGCTCATTTTATAAAACTTAAGATGAAACCTTGATTCACATATTTTTTTATCAGTGTGAAAACAAAAAGCTTCTGGAATAGCTTATATCTTCATAGGTAATTACATTGCTTCTTCCAGAGCCTTTCAACTACAACATGTTATTTGTAATTATAAAGGTAAAATTGATATATCAGAGAACTACATTATTAACTTTTTTTATTTTGTATGGAAAATATTTCATTCACAAACAAATTCTCAAATTCGCAGCCTTACATTTCACATTTTTTATTTAAATTGACGTTTTTATTAAATCTCTTAGACTGGTTAAAACAAGAAAAGTGATTCTTGGATTATTATGATAATTATTTTGGAAATATCACGGACACATAAGACATTCTTTCCGCTTGCTGTATTTGTGTTAATTATACATCCGTTAAATTTTGTTAATTTTTTCTTTCGTTTCTTTTTTTACAGTTTTATATGCGTTTATAATATTATTTAACCTGACCTGTTCATTTATTATCATTGTTACTATCATTGCTTTTTGTGTGTAAGATTGGATTTTGTATGTTGTCAATAAAACAACCATAGTCATAAAAAAAGAGAACAACAAAAAGTTCTTACCTGATGCAAACACTGTGAGTGTTACCATTTTCATTGTCACTTTCAAAGTCATTGTCTTCTTAAGTAAAAAAAATGAAGAAAAAAACGAAGCAGATTGCGTGAAAGACTAAGACAAGTGAAAGTTCTTCAAACAAGCGTTTTCAGTGTGCTTTTTCTGCCGTAACATTACAAAGGCGCGAAAAAATATTTCTCTCGTATCTGAGAGTCTCCAAAAACCTTCACTAACACCAAAATAAAGTAGTTAGTCGCCTTTTTGAACATGTGACGCTAGGTGGTTCTGAAAAGTTCCTATGTTGCAACACCGGACTAGCCTCTCACGCATGAGCAGTGCGACCGGGACGTTCCATTTTTCGTGGGGAACTCCGGTTTTGAAATCTTAACAGATTTTACAACAGATGATAGAAAATGCACAAAAAGATATATGAATATAGGTTTCTATTCATTTATCGGGTGCCCTAAATCCCCGGGCCCCAAAGCGGCTGCTTCCCTCGCTTAATGGTTAAGTCCACCCCTGCATGCCTGGACTAGATTTCATCGTGTGGTGTCACACATAGATATATATACTAGATACCGCATAGGGACCCTGAGCATGCGTCAATAGCGCCGCCACATTGGTACAGTGCTCCCAGCACAAATGTCATTCAACCGCACTAGTCAAGACGAGGTTATTACGTGAAGATGCGGGACTTTAGCGCTGTGTACATGTGTAGTAACGAGCAAACAAAGAAAACAAAGCACAAAGGCAGAACATTTTATAGGTAATATTAAGTTTTTTTCTGTTTTTGTATGTTCTGAACTTTTGTGCTAATCGAGTAACGTTATTGATGATAACAGTCACTTACTGCATTCACCATACGGCAAAGCAGCTCCAACTCGCACTAAACACTCGGCTTATGCTGGTTTTGTTGAATAAAATCAGCAAACAATGCAAAATAAATATGACAACGAGATGCTGCGCTGCCAGAAACTTGTATTATTAGGTGCGTTCGACATGAAGCTCAGCTGCAGCCGGTGATCAACGAGATTAGCCGAGCGCAGGCGGGGGCGGAGTTGATAACGGAGCCGTCAAGACGGACAGCTGGACACTCCGGGACTCAAAGTTGCTGCAGTCATGATGACCGATCACATGGCGTCATCATATTTTTTTTGTTATTTTTATTTATAACAACAAAACATTTACAAATAAAACAGAATACAGGCTCTTCAAACTGTAGTTCCTTTTTAAACAATAAGAGAGAATTATGAATAAAATATATAACAAATGCATGAGAGAAATAAGAGGAAATGAGAGGTTAATATAAACATAATATAAACATAAAAACGAACAGGTCTATTAAATACAAAGCAATAAGCATAAATTCTAGGAGTTAAACATCAATCTTTAGGCTATACTTCTTGTTTGAATCTGCTAAAAAAGGGTTTACATATATGTACATTTATAGATATAAAAATTTCCCATGTAAAAAGCAAAACAAGGTGTTTTGATTAGGTCTTAATAAATGACATTATTTTGGATGATGAATGAATTTTCAAAAAAGCATTTTAATCCAAAAAGATTGTGTTGAAAAGAACAAAAGGTAAAATAAGTGAACTATGTAGAAGTTTCCCAGAAAGAGCAGGTAGCCTTTAAACTGCTAGACAGAAAATAAAATATATATTTATATTATAATAATAAAGCCATTTTATAATTATTTAATAAAATAGTTCTTTACTTTAATTTGTTAAGAGAGCTTTAGGGGGGCAGGATCAGTGATGATGATTTTCTTATTTCAAGTCTGTAAGACTTATTTGAGTTCATATTTAGGTTATTCACTAAAATATACACTAAAATATATCATTTAAATCGTTCATGGAGATGAATGCAGTAAATAGTCTGTATAAAAAAAGTTTAAAATAAACCTGTGCAAACAAGCTAACCTTTATAACCAGATTATTTAACAAAAGATGATACTGCAGTAAAATATTTGTAGTCTTTTAATAAGCAAGATGTGTACAGGATAGAGAGGGTGTGAAAAGTGAATTGTTTGTTTTGAAACTTTTGAATCGGAATTTGTCCAATTATAAACCCGAAATACACGTGTTTGTTGTCATGTGGTGAACTTGGCCAATCGTGTAATATCGGTGTCGTCATCAAAGCTCCTGCAGTCGCTCTTCAGAAGCTGCATGGTCTGAATTTGCCGTCTGATCTCGGAGCGTTGTCGCGGTACTTTGATGCCACATGCCATATATAT